CAGACAGACCCCAGGACAGCAGCCCAATGTTTCTCTCTCTTCATAAAGTTTTGCTTTTTAAGCTGTATTTCTTAGTTTTTCACAGTAACTTGCAGCATGGTGTGTCTAGCTGCTGACAGCGGGGCAATAGATGGATGTCTTCTGTAAAAGCACCACCTTTGGAAGCTGAATTGCACCCAAAACCTTTGCAGTTGTTTTCCCAGAGCTGCAGCAACTCCCTGTCTTATTTACATGGGAGTCACAAGTGTCCTCATCACCCTCATGTCTGGAGTGTTTATTTAGGTGCCACCACAGGCAGAAATTCATGCGGTCTTTCTCCTGCTGAGTCTCATCTAACAGCCCAGAGCTCAGCTTAGGAAACTCCGCAGCTGGGTAGAGATGTGTCCAAAGTCATACCAAGCTTTAGGCACCATGGTTTTAAAGTTTAAAATTTTAGAAAAATTAAATTCTTAACTGAATAATAATAATGGGGACAATATTTCACTGTTGCAGACACGGGTTACCGGGTAAAGCTGGGTGGAGATTCCTGAGGAAGAGATGACCTGAAACAGAAGATAGCAGCAGTTATTTCAGCAAAGCTTGATGCTTTCAAAGGGGAGGTGAGACTATTAGTGCTGTTGAAAAGCAGGAAAAACTGAAAGGGGAAAACAATTATCCTGGATTTTAGTCGCAATCAAAAACGTGCGTTTTGAGATTTAAATCATCAGGATGTTTCCCTTCGCTTTCGGCAACAGAGTGACACCCTCGTGTCCCTTTTCCTCACACAAAGCCGGGCAGGGCAGCAGCTCCACGCTGCCTGGGGGGGCCCATGGCCCCACCGAGCACCCCAGCTCCCCGTGCCGGGGTGCCGGGCACCCACACAGCACCCGCGGGTGCCAAGGCCTCTGGGGCTCGGAGGGGGGGGAAAACCATTTCTTCAGGGCTTTCCTTTGGGAATTGGGGGTGTCACCCAGCCAGGCAGCCTCATCTGACAGCGCTACCTGTCTTAAAACGTCATGGGACTGGTACAGTCCTTAGAAAGACCAGCATGGCTTGGAAGTGCTTGAATTCACCCTTCACCAAGGTGACGGGACACTTCGCCTGTTTGCCGAACGTCTGGAGGGCTTAGTAAAAGATGGGACTTGGGTTTCCAAGGAGTTGCTTGATTAATTTTTAATTTTTTTTTTAATTTGAAAATTTTGTTTACATTTTTAATTAGAGAGGAGGGA